CGTGTTTTTTTTTGTTTTTTGTCGCTAACGCTCGGGAGGACGCGTACGACGATGTCGCTCGCCTACTGCGGACGGTCGGACGGACGGACATTTCGTTTGTATGACCCAAGACTTTCAGTCAAGGGAAAAATGACCGTGTGCACAAAAGATTTGCAGATCTATCGGCAGAATTATGAGCAAGACATATTTTGGAGATACGAGTCCACTTTTAAAACTCACATTTCCATTGTTTTTACTCTTCGACATTCTGCATTTTATACATTTCAAGTTTTCGCCATTCTTATACATTCTGCGTTTTCGGATGCTGCATCAGATGATAAAATATAATAGCTACTACCTACAGTATTACTAGCTGCAGCTAGGGATTCTTGGTACGCTGCAGCTAGGGATTCTTGGTACGCTGCAGCGGCTAATGATTACGTTACAGAAACTAGTTTGACTAACTGCAGCGCCCGATTTAATGGCCGTTGCAGCTAGTTTTAACAAAAACCAGTTGCAGCAGCCGCTAAATTGAGCGCTGCAGCTAGTTGTGCAGCGGATCCCGAACACATTATACAAAACAGTTCACCAACTGTAAGAGCCAACACCCTCTCTGATCAAATGTGATCAATAACACGCTCTCGTTCTATTAGTTTTATTTTACTCTATATAAGAACATCACTACACACTAATATACGGTGGATGAAAAGTTCTGTCGAATCCTTAATTCTCTGTGCGATAACTGTATATATACGATCACGAACAATACAAAAAAAGAAATGAATGAACAGTGGCGAAAAAACTTGACGACAACAATGATATACATATCCAAACTGGTCGAGAATGAAAAGAAAGGAAAATAAATATGTATACTGTCTACGCGAAGAATGGCGAAGGCAACGTGACAAACATGTGATGATATATATGAAAGGCCTAGCCTGTAATAATCTTCCCCTCTTTAAAAAAATGTGTGTCCTTACACATGACACTAAGTAAAGTATGAAGATGAAAAACAGGAAAAGTGAGTGAAAAATTGCTCATATAAAGCTTGTATAAATGAGAAAACATATTATATACCGAAATAGTGAAGAGAAACAACATAGAGTATATCATAAACTGTGCTGGTTCTTTGAAAATAATCATTGGAATAGACGTAAAAACTGAGACACTTGTTGACATACCCAAAAATCGTGATATGTTTTGTATTATATACGAATAAACCCTAAGTTTCCTTTTTTTCTTTTCAAATGAAAACATGTTTTTGAGAGGGACAAGCACTACCTGAGATTCAGAGAGAAGTTGAAAAAATGAAATATTTTCCACGGTTATCTCTTGCATGTAGCGCATACAAACGTCAATGTTAATGTCTTCTTTTGGTTATATGGTCGCGATTAGAATACGGCGTCATTGTTTGGTATGTGCTTGATGATGTTATTGTTAAATAATTAGAATGAGGACGCTGCTGTTGGAAATGTAATTGATCATAATGTTGGGTTGTAAATATTCTGTTTGGATCTAATATATTATCAACTTGTTGTTGTTGTTCGTTATTGTACATTTCCAGATGTAACATCCCCCCTTGTATTTTCGTTTATCGTGGTTGAATACCCATTCCCAATAATAAAATAAAATTTCTTTGTATTCTGGTGCTGTGAATCTTGGATCCACTTGACGAATTACACAAATGGCATAATTCTTCTTTCGATAACTCAGGCTCCCTTTTCTATTTCGATGTTTTTGTTATTTTGTTGTTCTTGGTTTTTTGAATTTCGTTGTGAGGATAAGTTTCTCGATTTTTTTCCCTGTTGATAAGAGACCTGTAGCACAATGTTTGTTGACTAATAGGGGCGTTGGTTGTGCTAATTGTTCGCTGTCGACTTGTTCCATATCTTCACTTTCACGATCCCCGGATGCGCATTGTCCGTTTTGTAAAAATTGTTGTTGTGGTAACTCAAGTAGTGGTTCGATTGATAAAATATTGTGACTCTCTTTTTCGGACTGATTTTCCACCAGCTCATTATCGGATATTTGTTCATAATCTTCTGGATCATACCGAAACTGTTCACTGGGTATTGCTACCCGATCGAAAGCTGTTGACAAATTCGGCCCTAGCTGTCTATTTACACGGTCAGCCAGTTCACGAGTTTGTTCAACTTGTATGGGTGATTGTACAGATGAAAAATCGTTCATCGGCCGTTCATCTAAACGGTCAGCCGGATCTTTATATTGTATATTCGTGCTAATCAAAAAAGGTTCTAAAGTCTTACTTCACTGCCGCACTCTAGGCGGTACCAAAATCGCTGGATTGAACTTAACCAACTTCGTTGCACGGAGAATTTTTAGCAAACAAATTATAAATTAGTTCAACTTGTAAAGAATCCTTTGCTCTATTTCTCATGTGAATTGCACATCATTCGGACTTGACCTGAATTAATTAATAAGAAATTACGTCAAGGAAATAGTCATTTTTCTATACAAGGGAGTGGACATATTAGAAGACCCAGTATCAACTATAACGATCAATAGTTGATATCAACCTAAAATCAACTATCGGTCAAGTGCAAGAAGAAGACAAGCTAAAATTTTTTATCACGTTCACTGCACAATGACATAGCAGTCGTATCTACTCAATCCTCGAAGTATTTTACATCTATATTGTGAACATCGCCACATTTAAAAATATCTAACGTGTGAACATGAAAGCCCCATTTATTGATGAGAGCACTGACGATTATTAGTTGATCTAAAGAACTTAACCGATTTCTTTCCTACATGTACAAAAACGTTGGATGATCACCTCGTTCTTCACTATTTCCAAGTTGACTGCTCATTAATTAGCGACTCACACTTGGGTTTTATTTTTGTATACACATGATGCCTAGAATGCGATGGAATTCGTTGATTTTGTAGCTCTTCTGGAGTTCAGTTCAAAGAGTAATTCAAGCATAAAGTAATACCAACAAGTAGCAGTGAAAAACAGTGCCTCACAGATAATCTTCTTATTTTATACAACACCAGAACAAAGTTTTTAAACAATAACGCCTGAATAACGACGGTTGCATCGTGAATGTGCTTGTCAAGGTGAAAATGAATCATTTTCGAAGATTGAATATGCTATCATCTCAAGAAAATTGATAAAACACGATCTATATAGAGTTGGCATACGTTCTGTCCCTGTATGAAAAGATAGCATTTCATACCTAGCTTACGATACTAAATAAAACTATTTTTTTGAATAACTATTTTTGTACCCCGTACACTACGCGTACCACAGAATATCACTCTTCTATATCATACAACACTATTGCTACCACGCTTTCACCGACCTTCTAAGTTATTTTGCGCTTTTTAATTATTTTTCGTTTTTCAATTATTTCTCCTTTTCCAATTACTTTTTGTAACACGCAAAAAATATTACTTATATTATTCTCGAATATAAGAAATGTTTCAGCCGTGACCCATAACAAAAACAACCATCAAAGTCTTTTAACAAAATATGATACACGAAACGTTATGATCACAGTTGAAAAGATATGCAAAGACACGAAAAGACCCTTCAGTGGATTAAGGCAATAGTAGATAATCACATCAATAATGCAGCTCAAGCTGTTAGTGCTTCATAGCAGAAGAGGACAACAACCACATATACTCGACACGCATTTACGAGTGAAGCAATCGAGCCAGATAAATGAAAGCGTTCAGGTTGAGACTTCTGGTGGACATTTACATCGTCTTCTCAGAGTGCATTTTGACTCGAATGCACTGAAACATAGCAAACCCATGCACACGCAAAGAGAAACGTCATACCGGTTTCAAGGATTGATTAGTCGTTGAAACAGCAACCACATTAAAGAAATGTGCTCCACTTGTGTCGATGTATTCTAAACGGAAAGTAAGGTCAGGTCTGCGTAAAGGAGAATAACTTTCGAGCGCATCATACAGACTTCCGACAGGGTTCTTTAGGTATTAATAAAATCTAGCGGTGTTAGAAATCCAGGATGAAAGCAAAGTTCTTGAAAGATAAAAAGAAAGATGTGTCGAACTCTTTGATGAAGAGATGTTTCACATTCCCTCAAAAGAATGATCCAAAAAAATGAAATTTGTAAAAGGCTGCTTGATGTCGGTAATTGCAAAATTTGTTTTTTGAGCAGTCCAAATGAGGAAATTTATGCCTGATTCGGTTAGATGTTCTTCTCTTGGTGTGGGTGATGGTTAGTGGAAAGAGCGAAGTATATTGAATATATTTTGTTTTGAAATGCTTGATTGCGTTTCGATTCGGCATTTAAGTTGACTGTTTCATTGCATTTCAGCGTCATTTGTCACTAGGTTAAGAGAAGTAAACGTAAGTGTTCTCACTCTTATAATGTTCACAATCGATCAAGCTTTGTTTTTAGTTCGAAATGTCGTCAAAACTATCTATTGTCAGCACACTTTTGTTTTTATGTCTGATTTATGCAATAAATTGTCATGATGATGAGAAGCTAACATATGAACAAAAACGAGACTTGATCGACCAAATTGAGACATCGACATCTTCGCCAACTTGGATGTCT